AAGCCCTCATTACCTCACAAAACGACTTACTTCAAAAGCCTTCTCCTTGGTCTTTCTGCCCCCGGTCTCTCTACAATTCACCTCCACTCAGCTGATGAAGCGATCTTCCTAAAGCACAGCTCTGATAGACCATGTTACCCTTCTACTCAATAAACTCCATGGCTCCCTATTTTCTCCAGGATTAAATATAAAATCTTCCCTTATTTATAGCCCTTCACATTTTGAACCTTTCCTTCTTTTCCAGTCTTCTTACGCTTCCACGCACTCTACTCTCTACTTCCCAAACACAGGCTTTTTGCATTGTGAGGGTGGGTAAATCAGCAAAGTTCTAGGAAGAAGTCGGGGAAACCAAGAGGTGCAGATGAGGAGGGAGTACCGTGTATGGCATATTCAGAGAGGACTAGTGCCTCTGGTGTGAGGCTAACTAAGGCCTTTTCAGGGCTGGTCAATAACATCTGGTATCCACCTGACACCCAACTCTCACCTGTGACTCCAAAAAGCTGTAGCACTGGCAGCGGTCACACCCCAGTAAAACCATCTCAGCAAACAGGCTAAACCACAATGACGGTAACTGACAGACATGTTATATGTACTTATCAGTGAACGTGAAGTGTTTCAAGGAAGGAGAAGCAACTAGAGCAAGTGTATCTGGATCATAACACCATGAAACCAAGCGAGGCTGGAAATAAAAGCAGTAGCCTTTTAAAGGTAAGACTTTTTGAGAGTAACTTGTCCATAATCCCATCACTAAGTATCTAAAGAGAGAGTCAAACCCCAGTGCCCTGACTCCAAGTCCAGCTTGAAATTTATGATCCTATGAGCTATCTTTCACTATTCTGTGTGTTTACCTTTTACTGCCCCATACTCAGTTTGGTAACTTTCACCTACTTGAAGATCTATTACTTTAGGGTGGGTGCTTTTCTTTAGCAATGTAGATCACAACTCCTCTAACTCGAGCGATGGTCTCCTATCTCTGTGCCTTTGCTCACCTTTTCTCTGTAGAATGTTATTTGCATGTTGTCTCACCCATTAGACTGTGAGCTGCTCAAGAGAAGGGACTTTTACCTTTCTTTGTAACCCCAGCACTTAGCACAGTGCCTGGCACACAGTAGGCACATTAATATTTATTGGCTGGCTCTTTCTTCATGTGTTGAATTTCTATCCACTCTAAATCCCAGCTGAAATGTCACCTCCTTTCTGAATCTTCCAAGCAGTTGTTTGCCTCTGTTACCCTTCAATCTCACATATAACATTCGGTTGTTAGTCTAATTCATTTCTGTATTATGACTAGTTGCATGTGTCTTACCCACCTACCTACCAGACAGTAAAACCCATGAGAGCAGAAACCATATTTTAGGTAAACATTCTATCTCCTGCTTTTCCTAGTATATGCTCAACAAAAAACAGGCATTTAATGTCTGAATTGAATTCAATTTATACAGCATCTTTTAAGGAGCTAAACATGGTTTATTATTTCACAGAAATACTACGGGTGAGAAAAGTAAAGAGAAAATTTTAAACTAATATAATTATAACTATTCAATTTAGTAAACATTTATTAAGTGCTTACTGTGTTGAAAGCACTTGCTGATACAAGGTTTCAAAAAAGTATGATCCCTGCCTAAGGTAGCTAACAGTCAAGGGAGGGAAGGGGAACTGGGGATAAAAACATACAAACAACTCATACATAGTAAACATACTAGAGATGCACAATAACGCTCTATGTACAGTTTGAAGGAGTAAAGGTCATTAACAACTGGAAGGACTGGAGGAGGTAGTATTTAAGCCAGTCTTTTTAAAATGGGTAGGAATTCAGTAAGCAAAGGAGAAAAGACATTCCATAGGGAAGGGGGTGAGCAAAGGCACAAGGAGGAAAATGAAGGGTGTTTTCAAGTAATAAGTAGTTCAATTTGGCTTAGATCCTAGAGAACATGAAAGTGACAGAGATAAGGCTGAAAAAGCAAGGTGGTGCCAGATTACAGATGGCACTGAATGCTAGACAAGGGAATTTGAACTTTATTCAATGAGCAAAATATTCTTGAGCAGAGCAATGACACGACCAGCTTTTTGTAGAAGGAATTGTCTGGCAGTGGTATGAAGAGCTGTTTAGAAGGGGGAGGGAATATAGGAGGAAAACTCATTGGGAGGGTTAGTAACAATGGAAAAAAATGAATGAATGAAAAAGCATTGATTTAATAATGAAGTGTGGATGTGAGAGATGTAGATGTAAAAGTGACAGGACCTGGTATATCAGAGGTGAGGGAAAGAACAAGAATAACACAAAGATTTCAAACATGGCAGGCTGGATGATTGGTGACAGGAATAGCCAAGTCAGAAAGAACAGGTTTTAGGAAGAAAGAAAAATAAGCATGGTTAGTCAGTGGAATATCCTGGTAGAGGTGCCCTGTAAGCAGTAAGATGTGGGTCTCATAGCTCCAGAAAGGAGCAATGCAAAACTCCAAGATTAAGGAATCCCTGCATAAGGGTGATAGTCGAAGAGCCACATTAGCAAAGAAAGAGAATGAAGAACAGACCTTTAGGAAACATGCATGGCTCAAAGAGTCAAAAAGAGAATGAGAACTCAGATGAAGAACTACTTAAAGAGATTTCTAGAACCCGGGCCATATAGTGCCTCTGAAGCCAACAAACAAGAAGGGATGGTAAAAATGGTAGTTACCTATCTTATTAAAATGAAAATATCCAGCAGCCAGACAATAACCACCATATGGCGCAAACAATGTCAACAAGGTGATAATGACCAATGTTTTAAAGGGTGAATGTTGCCATAGCTTCCAAGGCTGCAAGAACCTATCTTTCCAATAGCCCAATGAAGCCATTCAGCCAACAGTCATGGGTCTGTGTGGTCTTTAGTCTTCAGACCCCATCAATCAGAAGCTGAATAGGTCTCTAGAGACAGGAGAACTGGAATCCTGGATGGCAGCCTAAGAGTCTCAGCGAAAGGCAATAAGAGAACACATCAGCCTGAGCATCCAATCTTAAACTGGCACAAATGGTCTCGTAATATCTATAGCTTTCCAACTCACGTTATGTAATAACATGTGAGTGAGTGATAATACATGTATTTTTGAGTCCCAAATAAACGCTCCGAGAATTTTAAGGAGAGTGTGAGCATTACTTTCAGTACAGAAGAAGAAGCTGTTAACTCTGGAGCCGGAGGAGAGGGCTCAGGTTCAAATCCCACTTCAGATGGTCACTATCTCTACTGTGACCATGAGTGGTCACTTCACCCACCTGCAGTTTCCTGACATCTGTAAGATAAAAGTTGACTAGGCAGCCTCTTTGGCCTCTTCCAGCTCCAGATCTCTGATCCTATGATACTAGTTTACCAAACTGAGGCACTGACAGGATTACTTGTCAGGGAATAATTAAGTCTTTAACAAACTCCATCTTGCCAACTTAGACCACTATTCTAAAGCTTTAGCATTTAGACTTTCAAAAGAGTTGTTAGTTTCCAGAGTACGAAACCATTTTGCAAGCATAAGTTCTGGTTAGCTAATGAATGTGTAAACTGAAGACTATTTTTACCTAATTTATAAACTTAAAAGTTTATAACTTGATGTAAATTCGTTATAAACTTATCTGGGCACCAGTTCACTCTTCCGAAAATGCAGTTGGACTAGAGCACATCTAAGCCATTTTCCAACATTCTGAGACTACAAAAAAAAAAGTGTTTCTTTTCAAGTACCCTACACCTCAAACTGCCTTTTTTTCCTCTTCCCTTCCTGCCCCCCTTTTATAATCCAGGGAAACAGAACCAGAAATAAATATAAAAATTTACTGGAAAACATTTTCACCAAACACACATATATATATGTATATATAACATATATACACACATATAAAACACTAAACAAATCACATATGTATAAGTATACGGAGTTGAAAACAAATTTTAATAAGCTAAATTTAAAGCTGATTTCTACATTCTACTTATTTAGGTCAATAGTTTCAGTAACTGAACATTAACTTAAAAGCACCACAATTAACTACTTTTAAAAAATTATTAATTTTGCTCAAATAATGAACCCTAGCCACCAGAATAAATCTCTGGCTCTTCGATTCTACTGACCCAAACGTATTTACTTTGAAGTTAGGGCCAATATGTCAATAATCTGTAACTCAGTTGGCAAGGGCAGAGAGCAGGCAAACTTTATTTTATTATAAGCATTATCTGGCTTCTTATGCTTTCGAAAAATACTGTAATTCTTACGTAAAGACAATACGGTAGGAAAAGACGACTCCCGACCCAATGCCTGAACTTTGAAGGAGCCGTACACATCCTTAAGGTCTTCCTCAACAGTTGAACAAATCACGAGGCCTGACCAGCCCAGAGAACTCCAGGACTAGGGGCACCAAACGGAGGGAGGGGGGCGGGGGGGTGTTGCCAGAGCTATTTAAGGCTGCTCCGAACCCAGCTTCACGGGAAGTGCCCAGTTTGGAGGGTTTCACAAAGGAGCTGGCCAAGCAACACCATCTTAAAGCTGTCAAAATGACAAGAAACGCGGCCAGCCCGGAGGGGGAGGGGGGCGAGTTCAGCTGTCACTTTCGGATGGGGCTCTTAGCCTCCGGGGAGTTAGGACAGACCCCGTCCCGTCAGTACGAAGCCCCCGAGGAAGGGCACGGTTCCGGGTCTGGGCAAGGGGGTGGGGGGCGCGAAAAAAAACTGTGGCTGCTTCGGTGGGCGGGTGGCGGGGAGGAGGAGAAAAGAGCCAACTTTTCCGCCCAATCCGGCCGCTCGCTCGGGCTGGGGGTGGGGGCGCATGCAGCCGCGCAGAAAGACCCCCCAGGGGACCCCACCTCGCCCGACCCCCGCCCATACGGAGGAGACCGCGGCTGCAGGGCGGGGGCACTCCGCGACCCGCGGGACCCCCTGGCGTCCCCAGCCCAACAGCCGGGGCCGGCCGCCGCCCCCTCCCCCACACGCCACCGCCCCCCGGCCGGAGCCGCCCTGGAGCCCCCTCCCCAGGCCTCTCACTCACCCAGGTAGCGGCTCCGCAGGCGGGACGGGTCCTCCAGCCCCAAGGACCGCTTCCTCACGTCCCACAGCAGGTGTGGGCAGCAGCCACCCCGAGACATGGCGCGGAGGGAGGCGGGGAGACCCCGGGGTGGGGGGAGGGGTGGAGGAAGGGGAAGGGGGAAGAAGGGAGGGAGGCCAGGGACGGGGTGAGGGGAGGAGGGAGGCAGGAGGGGGCGTGCACGCGGAGGCTCCGCTCCGAGCCGCGCGCGCCGAGTCTGGCTACGGTGCCCGGGCTCCCTCCGACACGACGCCCGGGCTACGTATCGCCTGGGGATCGTCTCATGCTCTCTCCCAGAGCTCGGCTGCTGTCTCCTCCCTCAGCCCCCTTCCAGGAGGAGGAGGAGAAGGAGGAGGAGAAGGCGGGCGGCTCCACCTCCTCCTCCGCCCCCTCTGACACGCTCCCCACCCAGGCCTTCTCGCGAGATGATTACTACCCCGCCCGAGCGATAGGGGTCAGAGCTCTTCGCACACAGCATCTCCCTCTTCGCGGCCGCTCTAGCTCAATCCCGGATCTCTATGGACAAAAAAGGGGTGGGGCAGGGTGGGGAGGCAGAGCCAGGATTCATTCTTCTCACACAATTCCATTTCAAAAGACTAGAGGAAGAGTTGGGTAGCTCCATCTTTATTTCGGGCGTGGAAGCCAGGAGGGTCCCATCTTGAAAGTGAATTTAGCCCCAAATCCAGAGAGAAAGGAAACCGGGAAGAGGGCGTAGCTTCTTTTGCCCTTCTCCAACATGGGCTCTAAAGCCGGAAGACAGAAATGACCGGGGGCCTCTTTCCTGAGGTAACCCGCCCTTCCCCCCAAAGAGACCAATCGCTGAGAGGGGAGTAGCGTGACGTAAGAGAGGAGCCGGCGGAGGTATCTATCCTGGGCGTGGCGATGAGACGACGCTTTTGTGCCTGTTGCCATGACTCCTCCTCCTCCTCCTCCCCCTTCCCGGTCCCCTCCCCGGTCCCCTCCGCCCACGGGCAGGGGTTGGGCCCGGGGCGGGTCAAGGCGGGGAGGCTCCGCCCCCTCGGCCTCCTCTCCGCCCTGGGGTCCCGCCGGCACTGTGGTAGCTGGGGGCGGTGCAATTCATCCAGAAGGGCACCCTGGGGGAGCGGAGGAAACCGGTGACTGAGGCAGGGAAAGGTTACGAGCTGCCCTTGGTCGGCTAGGGGAGCGGGTGCACCGAGTCTCAGCCGGGAGGATGGCCGCCCACGGAGTCCGAGGCCTGCGGGCCACCTACCACCGCATGCTCGACAAGGTGGAGATGATGCTGCCCGAAAAGCTGAGGCCCCTGTACAACCACCCGGCAGGTAACGGCCGCCAGTCGCCTTCGCCTCCCCTTCCCCTAGAGACTTCACTGGCCAGCCTTGGCCCCCTTTGCGGAAGTCAGACTTCCCACCCCCCCAAGAAAAAGCCTGTCCCCTTTTTCACCTCACCCCCTGCCTAAAACAACCTGCGATCGCCAAACTTCACCGCACTCAGAAAACGTTCCGCACCCCCGCTCCACAGACATCCTGGGTCGTGACCCGCTTCCCACCCCGCTCCTCACAAAGTACCCCCGCGCCCCAGCATTTGTCGTTGCCCGCACCCGCGACCTTCTCTTCCCCTCCCCCACCCCGCCCGGACACGGGACTTTAAGGCCGGGTGTCCGGGTGGCGGGACTCGCCGGACGCCGCGGGTGGTTGTGTGTTGCCCGGAGCCTGGCCGGAGCAGGGAGTGCGGGGGGGACCGCCGCGGGGCTGTCACCGAGGCCGGGCTCGGCCTGCGGGGAGCGAGCGGCCCGGCGGCGGCTCCGGGAGTGTTGGGTCCTTGGCCCGCGCAAGGTGCCGGGTGGTGGTTTACGTTCCTGGTGCGGATGATCCGCCGAATGTGGCTCTGCTTCCCGGGCACCCTATCCCCTTCTCCTCGGAAACGCCTCGATCACCCCCTCTGTTAATGGGTATATCAGCACCTGAAAGGCCTGGACTCGATCAAATGAGCGACCGTGCCAGGGTTCTGCCAACCTTAAAAGCACTCTGTAAATGGAATGCTGGAAAACCCGAGTTCGCATCCAGCCTCGTGTGCATTGACAACGTGTGTGACCCGGGCAAGACACTTAGCCTCAGTTTCCTCAGCTGTAAAATGGGGAAGATAATAATAGCACCTACCTCGAAGGGCTGGTGTGGGGGATACATGAGATAATGTTTGTAGAAAGTGCTTATCACCGTGCCTTGGCGCTATAGGCGCTGTGCTGTATAAATGCTTATCCCCTTCTCTGTTGTTCTGAGTTTTGTGCCAGCCTTAAAGATCCTTCTCAGCAACCTTCTGAAGAAATGACAGCAGTGAAATGTGTCTAATATGGGAACCACACTAGGACTGATGCCCATTTTGAGGGTATGGAAAAAGCAGCATAGTTTAGTAGTGGACAGGTCTAGTCTCTGAAGCAGGCGGAGCTGGTTTTAAGCCCACCTCAGTCACCCGCTGACTCTATTACCAACCTCTCCATTCCCCAAGCTAGTAACTAGCTCCAACTGCCATGTGTGTAAGTAGAGGTTTCCCTAACAGGAGTTTCTTAGACCAGTGGTGTTGGATCCCTGCTGGATATTGACTTAGAAAACTACAAATTAACGTTATCTGTGTTGAATTGTATTTTTATTTATTTTGTTAAGCATTTTCCGATTACATTTTAATCTGGTTCCTTCTGCACTCAGATCTTTTGCAAGCTTGAGATCTCTGCCTTACACCAATGAAATTACAGGTCCGGATTAGGACAAAATAAATGTCTTGGGACCTAAGGGGAATACACTGTAGTTCAATAATATTTAACAGCAACTTAACTGACTGATGTGACTAATAGTAACAGTTAATCTGGGATCCACTGTGAAACTTTAAGGTATGGTTATTGTAGATGGAGAATTTCATTTTAATTTGGCTCCTTTTTTCCTTTCATGTGCTGTAGCTTCAAGGTCAGTGGTTCTGGAGTCAGATCCCACATTTGCTACCTGTGTGACCTTTGGACAAGTCACTTAACACCCCCCCCTTGAAGGGATTGAACCAGATGGATTCAGAGGTCTCATTCAGTTCTAGATTTTGATCTTATGTTCTGTCACCAAGTTTTACTATATTCTAAGCTTGCTGTGTTTTGTGACCTCTAGGTCACCATTTTGTTCCATCCTGGGAGGTGAAATATCTAATATAAGGGAGCTTGTACCCACTTAAATGACAGTAGCACTTTCATGAATTTTTGCTTTTAAATCAAACTAAAATGTTTCAGACTCATAGGATGTTCTTTTTCAACTTTATGTCATCTATAATTATTTTGGAACTATATTTTTCAAGATCTTCTTTTCAGATAAGAATTTCATTAAATTGGGAAAGTGAATTTATCTGTGTTCTTCTTGTTCTTCACTACAATCTTTTGAATTTTACTGCTTTAAAATCATGAAGATTCCAGCAAGTTTATTTCAATATGAATGACTATAGTCATACTTATATCAGTGAAACAGTTGTGATAAACTAGAAAGAACATAGGACTTGGAGACAACCTAGTTCTAACTCCTTATTTTGTAACTGACCCTTGCTGATCCTGTTTCCTCATCTGTGAAATACTTGAACTGTCTGCCTTCCAAGATTGTTGTGAGTGAAGTTTTTTGTAAACCTGAAAGTGATTCATAAATACAAGGTATTCCAGAAATGGGGGGGTGTATTTACCCCCAAACCTGCTTTTCCTGTGAATAACTTACTTTCTTTAGTGATATTTACATCCTCTCTACCAAGAAGCTTGATTATTGTTTTTGCATGTGGGTAAAGGAGAAGTTCATCAATTGTAATGCCTCATATGTTCTAGGCCTTCATAGTAGGACCTTAATAAATAAATGTTTGATTGAATTTAATTTCTCACATTTGTCCCATTTCTCTATTCCCACTGCCCCCACCATTCCAGTGATATTTCTAGTGACCTTATACCTGATTGTTGTTGTTCAGTCTTCATTCTCAAAGATGACCAATGACATCAAGAGAATGATGTCTTAACTTGCTTGTGAATTGGATTTAAGTGAGGCTGAACTTCAAAAAGTAATCAGCCTCACTCATCCAGAGTCATCAAAGTCCAATGGCAAGACAAAAGTCAAGATGACTGGTGATGGCCTGGATGCAGAGGGTGACCTTGGTTTTTCTAAATTTAGGTCTTTTCCAGGTCTCAGTTTGTGACTAAGAGCTAGGTAAGAACTGAGACAAAAGATGACCTGATTGTACCGTTACAAAATTATCAGTCTGGGTTTCTGACCTGAACAGAAAACAATTGGTATTTACACTCATTATAAGCCATCAAAATCTAAACAAAGAGCCATTGAGGCTTAAGAGCTAGGGGCTATTATTGGCCTTTCAGTGAAAGCCAGAGTGATTTGGTTTCAAAGGCATAGTCAAGTAGCTCCATTTGAAACACAGTGGTCTGTTCTGGAGAATCAGTGGACTTCTTTAAAACCATTATTTTTTTTTTAAAGCTTGTTTTTTCAGAGCTATATTTCAAGAAATCATTAATGAAAACTGCACGGCACAATAAGTAAGTTGTCCCAGCTTTTAGAAAAAAATCTAGGCTCCACCCAACCCCAAAATAGCTTAGAAAATAAAGCAACCAAAAATTATATTCCTATGGAAGGGCACTCACATGTAAGGATATGGTGCCCCAAGTGGCAAGAGGGACTACATGTGGCAAGGAGCTGTAGTTGTGGATAGCTGCAAGGGAGACAGAACAGACATCTCTGGCCTCATCTTCCCTGACCCTTCTCCAAGAGAACCTTTATTCCTGCCAGGTGCATTTTTCAGGGCTAGTTCCAGGGGTCTGCAAACCCTCAGTTCTTCCAAGAGGAGGATCAGTTCTTCCAAGAGATGCTGTCTCACTTGTGCCAAAGGAAGGATTTTCAGGAAGTAATAAAAGAAAAACAATGAAGAAACACCAACAAAAAATTTTTCTTAAGAATTAGCCAAATTTTTAGATTTTTTTTAAATTTGGTGTGAGAGATTAATGAGGTAATTGGAATTTTAAGTATATTCCATAAAGTTTTCCTATAAAGACAAGATTGTGTAGTGGTATATACATATATGTGAATGTGTTATGAGTCCAGAAAAGTGTCTAGAAGTGGGGGAAATAAATATTACATGTACTATCAACAAATTTTAGTGATTTAGTGATAGCCTTTTATCTTCAGAAAAAAACAAAATGAAATATCAAGGAAAATGGTGTCATACTAAAAATGGGAATGGAAGTGTTTTCTGGACCTGACTCAGGTCATGCCCTTGATTATCTGGGTTTGATATTAGAACAAAAATGAGACACTTGTAGGTCTTTTAACAGCTAAAAAAGAAATTTTAAAAGTGTTGGCACAGATGCATTTAGATGGTTAACTTTGGGTGGAGGGGATGTCTTCGCAGCAAGTTTCTCTAGCTGTTCAGGGAACTCATTCAAATGTCTAAGAACAAAAGCCTGTCCCCTGTAGATAAATGGATATGAACAGGAAGTTTTCAAAGGAAGAGATCCAAACTATCAGCAACTGTTTGAAAAAATGTTGGAATCATTAGTAGTTAGAGAAATGTATATTAAAGCAAGTCTGACGTTCTACCTCACACACAACGGATCGGCGAACATGAGAAAGAAGGAAAATGGCAAACGTGAGAGAGGAGGCTGCACACTAAGGCCTGTTGGTGAAGCTGTGAATAGGTCCAACATTCTGGGAGGCAATTTGAACCTATACCCCAAAAGGTCCAAAGCTGTATATATCCTTTGACCTAGCAATATCACTACTAGGTCAGCACAGAGAGAAAAGAACCAGATGTACAAAAACATTTAGAACAGCCCTTGCCATAATGGCAAAAAGTACACAAAGGGGAAGCCCATCAATTGGAGAATGGCTAAACAAGTGATGGTTTGTGAATGTAGTAGAATGCTGTCACACCGTGGCTGCAGAGAAACCTTGAAAGATCTGTATGAATTGGTGATGCAGCACCCAGTGAGCAGAACCTGAAGAATGACTTTTATAGTTACAGCAACTTTGAAAGACTTAACTTGGTTCAGTCCAGTGACCAACAGAGGACTAATGATGAAGCATGCTACCCTACCTCCTGACTGAGAAAGGTGATGGCCTCTGGGTACAGAGTGAGACATTCATTTTCAGACTTGGCCAGTATGGGAATTTGTTTTGTCCAACTATGCATATTTGTCACAAGAGTTTTATTTCTATTTTGTTTTCCTCAGTGGGAGGCAACATGGAAGGCTAACACTAGGTTACCAGAGAAAGTCATTAAAGCGTTTAAACCTTTCATATTTAGTACGCTT